AAACGAGTAGCTGATGAAGGGGCGGCTGATACTTCCTCCGATCCGGCTCTGGGATTGGTCCGATACTTAGCGAGGCTGTAACATCGTTACAACTATAAGAAAGTCTTTAAGATAGTATAGCTAGTCTTTTTTAATATATAGAGAGTTATTAAGTATCTTAATATATACTTTTATACTTTAATATAGAAAGCTTAGCTAAAAATACTCTAAATATAAAAAATTCTAAATAATTTATATAAATTTAGATTACAATTCAAGCTTATAAGAGAGTTTTTTATATAATAACTAACTACTATATAAAAAGGCTTCTCAAAGCTTATTAAAAGAGATAAGAAGATAGTTTATAAAATTCTACTTATAAAGATCTATATATAAAAGATTTAAGAATAATTAGTAGTAGTAAAAAGGTACTTAAGATATAAAAGAAAGTAAATTTAGATAAATAAAATATTAGACTTTAATATAGAAGTATTATAAGTAGCTAAAAGTAGTTTTACTAGTTATATGATATTAAAGAAGATACGTAATAAGAGTAATTAAGAAAAAGCTCTACTAAATTAATAGTACTATAGAGTTTATAAGAGGCTAGATTATAACTCTTATATATACTAAAAAGATATAAAAAAAGATTTTCTTTTAGATATAAGTTAATTATATAAAGTATTTATTACTAGTTAAAGTAGTTTAAGTTTTTATATATAAAGTTTATAATACTAAGAAAAAGTAGTATACTTAGTAGGGTAGGACTCTTGGTAGTAGAATACGTTAATAATTGTTAAATTAGTAATTAGAATTATAACTTATATAGAAAACTATAGTAAAGCTCTTAAAAATAAAATTACTTTTACAATAACTAATATTTACTATAATAGTTAGTTCATATTTATAATATTTCACTCTATAACTTAATAGTAATAAATAATAGATAATCTCTAATATTTATACCTTTTTTATTAATAGCTAACCTATAATTTATTGAATTTCTTATTAGGATACTACCTTCCTAGTATATTAATAAAAGATTAAACAATCTATATTCTAAAATATTTAGAGTAATATTATGTTATTAATATATCTTAGGTATATTAAAATATAGTATTGTACTTTTATATAAACTTAAATAGCGATGTACTTATCTATAGCATTACATAGTCTAGCTCTAAGTATTAAACTTATAATTAAGTATATATAGTAATCTTAAGTATATCTTTATTATCTAATATAGATTTCTAGATATATATAAAATACTATTTACTCTTATATATAAAGAAGTATAGAGCTAGGAACATGTCTCTATAGAGTCACTTTATGTTACTATAGTTTTTTAATAGTAATAGTAGTACACTAGGTAACTGCATAAAAGATAAATATCTTTATTACTCTAAACTTAAAACTATTATAAACTTCTAAACGATATATATAATGATTAGGGATAAGAACAACACTTTCAAATGTATGTTTAGAAAATCATCTCGTGTTAAGGCCCAAAATTATGCATTTCATTTTTTCGTCTCGTAAAGACATCGATGAGGAGTGTCAACCCCTTGCTGAGAAAGTCATAGCCATCTATGTCTCACGTCTAATCTGGATCGTACCTTCTGGTATAACTACAAGACACGCGGTCGCAGTGGGAAGATAACATTGGTCCATATACAAGGTTCACATTGGTCGGTTCAGGCACAGCGTATACCTACGGGCAACAAACGAGCTGGCGGACTAGCCAGATTTATTGATGACGTGATGAAGTCTCGCGTCCGGTATCGCACCATCAGCATTTGGATTCCGATCAATTGTGCTGTGAAGGACCATCCGTTGGTCCTCACCAATTTGCGCACTGTCACAGACACTGACTTGGTACCCGCAGAGCAGGTGTATCCATGTTACATGGGCGAAGTGTTTGCCGGCAGGGGCAATACTGGTCAGAGGTTCTGGTACTGTAATGGTATGGATAGCACTGAGGTCGTGCTGTTCCAGGCGCTTAACAGCGGTGGGGAGCTTGATGAAAATGGGAGGTTGCATAGTGCGCGACGTACCCATGCTTCATTCTGTGTCGACTGAAATAAACAACTGACGAGGAGAGAAAGTATTAAATTGCGGTTTATTATAGTAAGTCTCCGTTAGCTGTATCGAAAACCAGTATGTAGGGGTTGATTATCAGTAAGCTTTAGTCGCTTGTACTTTTTCTTGAAAGACATTCGCATGTTGACAGCAAACAAAACTTTCAAGTCAAGGTCCCACCTCTTGTAGAAATACGTATGGTCGGATGATCTATAGCGCTGCTCCTGTCATTTCCTACACGAACTCGAAGAAAAAAGCATTTATATTATGTAGTTATTTCCGGGCTGGTCAAAATGTAGCATGATAGGCTTGACAAAAGTCACTGATGCTCATGTAGAACAAGTCAGGTGGATAGGGCAGGAATGAGGCAAGCATGAACAAACAATAGGAGGATCAGGTTCAGTCACCAAAGTAAGCTGACAATTGATAAATCAAGAGGGCAGGCCGTAGACAATCCGTAGAGCATAGGCACAACACAGAAATTCAACCCATAAGCTCTCATCTTCACCTCTTGATTGGATGGTGATCACTTATGCATTGATTCCATTGAATTTCCAATAGCAGATGCAACAGATTTCCCAAATCTTGAGACTAGATTTTCTAGGAGAAGTTCCGAAGCGATACATAGGGTTCATGTACGACATTTGGATCAAACATACATCATCAGTCTAGTTTCCTGTACCGTATCTGTTCTCAAATAGTATGAACTTCCGATATTTCGTTTCTCCCGCGATGGTACTACCAAAAGACCGGGGTGGGCAAGGGATTGTATTTGGCTCGGATTGGCCTTATACGCAAGCACGTGGGTACGATGCGTTGCCGTTTGAGAGAAATGTTGTGGAATGGCGCGACGATGATAAGAAGCTAACAGAAAAGGACATTCGTGACAAGGCTCGAGAGCGATGGAACGCATCCAGATGATTCGGTGTTCCGTCAAGGTTCTAGCCAAGTTACTTCGTTCTTTTTAGATTAGCACTGATAGAAAACTGGGCTGGGCTTCGATTGAATCAGTATGGCTTGTAATAGAAATGAGATGAAATCTATTGATCTATAAGAATATCGAAACTTATCACAACCCGGTTTAAGGTCTATGTAACTTTATTCCACCTCTATCCAACTCCTCACGGCTTTCCTCCACGTCTATTTAACTCTTTGTGACTATAAAACACCTATACTAGTGCCAACTCACTGCTATAGACAGACCTAAGTTTTAGGCGGTGCCGTTGTAGGAAGTGTTAATATTTCGGAGCCTTGTGGTGAGTGTCTCAATAGTCTTCGTGTGACAGCCATCCTGGACTGGCACACCGTTGAATCGGTCCTGAATCCATCCCATGAAATCAACCATTGGTGCGTTGCTTGAAACGTCGTGGTTCGAATCGGGGTAAAGCAAGAGGGTAGCCTTAGTGTTGGGGAAAGACGAGCAAGTCTGATTGAAGTCCCATTCGGTGTTGTTGGCGTAGGTAAGTACATCAGCGATACCCTGGACAACTAGCATTGGCGCAGCTAGGGCATGTGGTCCGGCGCCATTGAAACGCTTCTGCCAGTCGACGACTACGGGGAGTTTAAGCCAGTCAAGGCTCTTGAATAGCTGCGCGCTAGTCAGGCCTGCGAAGAGGGATCGGCCTGCAGAGATACAGCCTTGATTGACAAGAGGAACTCGGGCCAGCGCAAGGGGTGTGAGGTAGTCCTCCATACGAAACTCCTTAGGGAAGAGGCCAGCAAGTGACTGCAAGAAGAAGACAGATACTGCATCACCAATAGGTCCGCCATTTGCTCGTCGGATAGATTCAGGGATCAAGTCGAGTGGACGGAGCGCCGGCGAGTTTGCGACTGAGCCAAGAAAGTTGCCTGCCTTCTTGAGTTCGTTCTGGTCGGACATTGCGAGTCGCTCATTGGTCCTCCATGCAGTCATACCGCCCTCGCTGTGGCCGATGACAACATAATCTTGGGAAAGTAGGTCTCCAATAACTTTACGGGCAGCGATAAGGCCGTAAGCAACGTCGGCGGCGTGCAGAAAGCCAGCCTCGTACATAAAGCCCTGAGGGATATCGGATCCCTGGCCAGCGTAGTCTGGAGCGATAACGGCATATCCAGCCTGTGCCAGGTAGTAGGGTCCCTGCCATTCATAGTACAGATCTTTATGGTTGGAAGGCGCACAGTTTCTCGTGAATCCTGCTGTACCGTGTGTCCACACAATAGTGTTCAACGGCTTGCTTGGATCGGGTCTGCTGTAAGGTAGAAGGACAAATCCACTCGCCGGAATCGGCTTCCGGTCGATATCCTCGGTCATGTAGAGGAAGCGGGAAAGGGACATTCCAGCAGGTATAGTAAAGTTGGTGTTTACGATGGACTGAGGGAAGTCCTCCCATCGCAACACATCACCAGGTTTGGCACCGGTGACGTTGGCAGGCGTGCTGTAGAACGCTTCGGAGGATACGTTCTTTGAGACCATAGAGCCAATCTCCCCCGCGACAGCTGGTCGGAAGGCTGCTTGACATGCAGCATTGCAAGATTCCTGAGCATGGCTGAGAGCGGCCTGAAGGCCGAGAAGGGATAAAGTAGAGATCTTCATAATGGAAGAACGCAAGGAAAAAGCGAGTGCTGTGCTGATGTACCGGAACAGTTCAGATACCTAGTAGTATGAGGGATTGATAAAAGATGGCTGGCTGAGCTGGTGTGGTGTCATCCAAAAGCTGTTAGTCTTTGCTCTTTATATATGTTTCAATCGTCGTTCCTACAATGATTACTTATTTTTAGTGACTCTACTCAAGAGGCTCTAGTGACTGTACACAGGAGACTCTAGTGACTCTCCAAGACGCCTAGCACATGACTGTTACCACAAAAAGATAGTTCTGAGAGGCGGTCTGAACCACGTGCACCTCAAGGGAAGAGTAGATCGGATGCTGAAGTGGCTGTATCCTGACTTTGCTGTACTGTGAGCGTATATCCGTACATCGTATAGCGGAAAGACATGCTGTATCCAGCTAGCAGGACTCGTTTTCATGAGTCGTTAATGCGTATAGACACTCGTTGACCGGTGCATGGTATCTTTCTGGCATACGCACACCGAGTCCGATAAAAACAGAACGGTAGGATATCAGTAGGACCGAAAGTGTAGGGCATGGCCTACTTTCCAAGAACGCCAAGCTTCTATGCAAGTAAAACATCAAAATTAATCTCAAGGATCTGTCACTGATTGCCAAGTGGCTTAGCTTGAGCTTTTATTTGTAGAAAGATGCATGGCGTACAGCGCCTTCTTACATAAGGCGCAACGTACAGGGGCCTAATAGGGTCATTATGCAGGTGGTTTGGAATATACCAGTCCAAATTTGCTAGCGTTTGGCTCGCAAATACAGACACGCCTCTTCTGTTTTGTCTCCTGTTAGAACATTCCAAGCATGCTTTTCCTAGCTCACTCTTCAAGTGATTGTAAATAAAAATGTTCAAGCGCACATTGCTTCCTAGCAAACCGTTGCAAGAACTTGTAGAAAAATCGCGGTAAAAGAGGCTCAGAATCATTAATGAAAAATACTATGATGGGCAGGCCATTGGCGTAGAGAAAATGGACTGATCTAGGAATTGTTGCTTCGACAGGGACCCGTGTGTTGTGTCGTATGAGAGAAGAGGCAGTGATGCTATGCTATGCCCAAATAGGTATGTACTGCCGAATGTGTTACGCAAAACTTTCTTGACACTCGGATCCGGCAGGTTCGGATGTGGCTTGCCATTCTGTTCGCAGAGAAATCATCTCATACGCTCTACGCCAAGAAGATTCAAGAAATTAAAGTCAGAGGTCAGGCAGATATAGATGGTTCAAGTCGTGAAACGCTAAACATGTTTTGCTAGTTAAGTTAGGTGTTACGGCAGGCGAGTCTGCATAGTAGTGGACATGGCATCAGGATTGAGGGTAAGCATAAGCTACTGACCTCCTGTGCGCTTAGTGCGCTGTGAAAGCTTCCACGTACTGCGAAAGGAGGGTAACGCAGTTATGTATGTAACTTGGCTGACAGATAGTTACTTATCTAGACACGCAAAAGCCAATTCCTATACCGCACTCCATGTTAAAGTCCCTACTTGCAGATTCGAAAACAATATATATGAAAAATAAAACTGGGTATCTGCACACGACTCTCCGCTCGAGATTAGACCGGAGCACCCCAAGCTGCGCGCAGGCGACGTGCGAGCTGTATGTCCTTTTGTTGGATGGTGACGCGCCTTGCATGGATGGCGCATAGATTGGCATCATGGAAGAGGTTGACCAGGAAGGCTTCAGTGGCTTCTTGTAGGGCCATAATAGCTTGGCTCTGCCATCTGTTGGGTCCTTCTTCACTTGTGACTGTTTGCGCGATTTCACGGACCTGGATACGTTAGAAACGTGGTAAATGGCTTGTCACAGTTGCGCACTTACAAGACGCTGGAACGGGAGCTTCAGCAAAAGCAGGTCAGTCGACTTTTGGTAACGCTTGATCTCACGGAGAGCCACGGTACCAGGCTTATAACGCTTTTTTGCGCGATCAGGTGCAGGTCCTGGCGCTCCAACTGTGCCATGTCAGTCATTGTAAGTGCGCCCCTTGGCCGCATGGCTTTGACGTACGTCGCTTGCCAGACTCCCTTCTATCACCAATACTAGCTCTCCCGCCTCGCGATGGTCGCGCTTTGTTGCGCCTGGCAGGAGATTTCGGTGCCATGTCAAGTTTCTGTCGTAGAGATGTAGGGCCAACTGATGAAGGCAAAGTGAGCGACAACGGAATCGCGAGAAACGTATGCGCTTGGATGGGATTCGTGGTTGGCGCGTACACCGGACGCGACGCGAAGCCGCCAAACCTTGGCTTTGATTGAACTGGCGCGCTGCAGTGCTGATGTGCAAGATGGCTAGGAATCGATGCGGGTCTCAGGAATACGGTAATCTAGGACAATGAGAAAAGGTTGCTGTATCGGATGGCCTTGTTTGCATTGGCAGTCGTTCTCGCGTTGCTTGGTCGTGGTACTGGGCAGAGCCGAGGGGCTGGCACGTGTGGCTGGTGCGCGACCCTCAATCGGATCTTATCTAATCCGAATGGGCTAGATTAGATTAGATTAGATTGAGCTAGCGCTTTCGTCAGCCATGGTTCACGTTACGTAGCCACATATGTACGTACTTGACCTTCACTCTCGGACACGAGAGCGCAGCGGTTGCTCACTGACACCTGTCCTTTTGCTTCTTACGTAGCTTCTGTATGCTGGAGCTCTTCCCGTTACCACCTCTATCTTTGCATCGCCGGTGTCTCCAACTCCAGAGAAAGCGCAATCTGCTTGCCCCAGCCAGGCATAGACAAAATGGCCAACGTACTGCAAGGCGGAGATGGTATGATGGGCGGGGTTGGAGGATTTCCGCTCGAGCAGTGGTTCTACGAGATGCCTGTTTGCACTCGCTGGTGGATGACTGCAGCGCTAAGCGCGAGCGTGCTTGTGCAATGCCACATAATCTCACCCTTCCAGCTGTTCTATAGCGTCCGTACTGTATTTTTCAAGAGCCAGGTGCGTTCAACTTCGGATCCAAAGCCGGCCATTGCGTACTGACATCTGGCAGTACTGGAGGCTTCTCACAACCTTTTTTTACTTTGGTCCGCTCAGTCTCGATCTCCTCTACCATATTTTCTTTCTTCAACGCTATGCGCGACTTTTGGAGGAATCTTCTGGACGGTCCACAGCGCACTTCGCCTGGCTCCTCACTTTCGCATCCACGCTCCTCCTCTGCATTGCACCCATGTTCTCCATGGCCTTCCTCGGCTCTGCTCTTTCCAGCACCCTCATATATATCTGGAGTAGGAAGAATCCCGATACCATGCTAAGCTTCTTGGGGTTGCTAGTGTTCAAGGCACCTTACCTTCCCTGGGTATTGTTAGCATTTTCGCTGATTATGCACGGGACCGTGCCCAAAGACGAGATGTGCGGCATTGTCGTAGGTCACAGTACGCGTCCCCGTGTCTTTGCCTCAATCTCTTCGTTTTAGAGCTAAGTTTCAACAGTTTGGTATTACTTCAACGACATCTACCCGCCTTTACACAACAACCACAGTCCCCTCGATCCTCCTGTATGGTGGATACGTATGATCGAAGGACGCCCTACTCCCACCGAAGACCCAACCCAGGATGAGCATCAACCCGATATTGATATAGACGCACATGGCGAAAACGATCCAGTAGAGGCTGCATTGGTCCACTGATGCCGATTCAGGATATGGGCATTTCCACTTGGAGCCTGGCGAACAATTGTAGCTCAAACTACCTAGGATATCTTCTAGCCATTTCTGCCCTGCCTGGACCATGTGCATATTCACCGGCCGTTCCCTGCAGACCCCCCTACAGGGAATTGTCTTTGCGCACCGTCTTTGGCTTTGTGGTAACAGTCTCTTCCAGTAAAATGTCGCAAGGTTAAAGCTGCAAGGTCATCCAAGATGCGTCTGCCTTCGCAGATGTAATACTGCTGTATCCAACCTAGCAATTACATTCACAAACCCACTACTCGTCCATGTCCTGCAAAGTACTCTTGAGGACCACGATACTATGGAAACCGGTCCAGGGGTTAGTCGCAAATATGCTTAGAGCCACTCAAGAGAGCAAACATTCCCCTCTCTCCGTGTCTTGTCCGGTCCTCTCGTTTCTCAAGTAAAGCCTCCGGAGCTCCAGCTGCCTACATAATACCTTCGAAACTTTATATTTTCTACCCTACGACCTATTTCTGCATCTTACTTTTGGACTTACCATTGAACCTTTCGTAAAATCCAACCTTCTCCAACATTTAAGGGGTAATATTTCACTGAAACTCCTCTTCCAATGTAAAATTGGATGTAAACTGTCGTTTCCATGAGGGCGGCAGTGCTGTGCGTGTTTTGACTGCACCCTTGCCTTGGACTATAAGACTTACTCATCTCATGAGGCTTGCCTGCACCACTACACCGTGGAGGTTTAGTTTATTTTTTATCAAGACGTCCTTTGATATGGCCAAACGCTCCAATGGTGGGCACCAACATTTTCATGTCAGGATCTTGAATTCGGGGAGTGCATTCAAATTGCTCTCCTTACTACGCGTCCACCAGGCACCTCACTTACCATCAGCTGTGACGTTCTCAATTTACGGGAGGACCGAGCATGGAAAATTGCACAAGAGGAGGAAAGGTCAAATTGAACGATTTCGTGGTGACGGGTGGATTGGCAGTTTTGCCCAGGTCTGCACAGCCGGCAAATTGATCAGCCATATCTCTGCAAACCCTAAATCCGACACACTCTTCGCGCCAGAGTCGTTTGGAGCATACCGAGCGAATAGAAGCCCTGCTTTCTCTTTTATCTGAAAGCATCAAGTCGGGAAAGGTGGCTGCAGGTTTGCGACTTGTTTAGGTTTCCTTATCAGATAGCCGAGATGAAGGGACATGGCCATAGCAAGTGACCAGGGCCAAACAAGACGAACTAACGTGCGGGATCAGTAAGCTGGAAAGATCAGTAAGCTGAACGCCCCACCCAAACTGACGCGACTCTCTCCACAACCACCACAATGCCGCGA